GGGGAGGGGCAAATGTCACTAATAGGCTGTCTCCAAAGCTGGATAGAGTGGAAGACAACACCTTGTCCTGCTAGTTTTGAGAGACTCCCTCTGGGTTCCCAGGAGATGGGATTCCCTGACATTGACACGTTAGCCGCCTTGGCACAAACACCTTGTAAGAGAGGAAAAGTACAGCTTTGTTTTCACATCCTCCATACCTTCTCCCTCTCTGCCTTCAGCATAGACTTGACTCCCATAAACCCAGAGACCTGTTGGGACTTGACCTCAAAACATTGGTTGTTAGTATACTGGGCGATCTTGACTTTCCCGTGACGCCATCCTCATGGCATACCTCAAAAGAGCAGCGCCACCTTTGTTCAGATTGGTAATTCTGCCGTGTTCATTTCATTCCCTGAAAGTCAGGGTGGGCTCGTGAAAAGTTGTCGTAACAACATGCTAAATGTGAAATGTCCACCCTCACTCTAAACTTTCCCCATCCAGAGCATCAGCCTGAGACTTCAGTGGGTTTTACAGTGGCTTTCTGATTTCGGTAGTCCATTGAAGAAGGGAGTTTGGAAGTTGTTATATGCTGTTAACAATCATCTGCCCATGTCCTGCCTGAATACCATGATTGCTTATGAAAAGTATCTTTAATAAAGCTGATACAATTTGAAGAAAAAAAAGAAAGAAAAGCCATCGCTGATTATTTTCTTAATCATAGAACTGTCCACATATTGTGTCAACCTGTACAGATAGAATTCTCTGCAACAACTAAAAAGAAATGCATACAATAAAACATGTGAATATGGTAATCAATTCTTTAAGAAGCTGCTGCAAAAAGTATGTCTATTGTCATCCCGTTTTTTAATTTAAGAAAACCCAAACAAAATAAACCCTTTGCCGTCAATTCCTGCTCATAGCAACCATAGAGGATAGACTAGAGGGGCCTCTACGGGTTTTCAAGACTGTAAATCATTACAGGAGCAGACAGCTCCTCTTTCCTCCTCCGACTGGTGGGTGAGCAGCACTTGACCCACTACACTACCTGTGCTCTTTAGAAAAACCACTCTGAAAAATACTGTCTCCAAGACCCAGAACAAACTAATAAAAACATATTGTTGAGAACAAAGGTGGTCAGAACAGAAACCCAAAGCCCATCTGTAGACAACGTAACATCCCCCCACAGAGGGGTCATAGGGAAGGGATGAGTCAAGCAGGGCACAGTAAAGCACCAATGAAACACACACTATTCCTCTGGTTCCTTGAGGCTTCCTCACCCACCACTATCATGACCCCAGTGCTGCTTCTCACTTTGGACTAGCCAGAGCATGTACACAGGTATAGGTAAGAGATAAGTGCTCAGGACACGTGGAATCCAGGGACAAGAATGGGAATAACAATACCAGAAAGGTAGGGGGGAAGAGGGGAAGAGAAGGGAAGAAAGGGGGAACTGATCGCAATGATCAACACATAATCACGCACACCCCTCCAGGAGGAAGAACAATAGAAACCATGGAAGAAGGGAGAGAGGGCTGGTGTGAGCTCTGAAAATAATAATTTATAATCTATCAAGGGGTCACGAAGGTGGGGGTGGAGAGGAGCTGATATCAAGGGCTCAATAGAAAGCAAATGTCTAGAAATGAATGATGGCAACATATGTAGAAATATGCCTGATACAATTGATGTATGGATTGTAATAAGAGTTGTAAGAGCCCCCAATAAAATATCTCTTAATAAAAAAACAAATAAAATACCATCGCTTTAAAGAATTACCATATGCACTTTTCTAACTTTCATCTCCCCCGACACCTTTTCCTATATACCACAGTTTACCTGATCTGGACTGAATTCGCCAGTTGAGGACAAGATTCTTCAATTAACTTGTACAGTTTGGACAGTGTAATATCCGGGCCCTGGGTAAAGGAAAAATAGGAAGGTTATAAATTAATTCCTTAAACTTGGAGATTGATGACAAGTTGCAACCATGAATGCATTTACCAACCACTCTGCTGGGGACATTCATCCCAAACATGAAATTTCAGTTCAAGTAGGGAAATAGCTTGTTAACTCTAACACAGAAGTCTACTTGACAGTTGCATGCCACTTTTGTTTCATGGGTGGAATCATTTGAAATAGAATAAGACAATGTGTATCCAGAGGATTCCACTATTCCTTGCCGCCTTAGCTTCAGACTCTGTGGCAAAGTTGTAACATCCCTGATTCCTACTTCCTCATCAATAAAATGGGAATAATGCGTGTCTGAGGCAAAGGTTACTACTTAATGGGAAGTACTTTTGTAATACACTAAAACGCAGGTGTTTTCTTTTTCATCTACAAAGAACATTCACGAACATCCAGAGGATTCATGAACACAACCTCATCGGCTCCTTCCCAACACACTGTAAAGTGAGACAGACAGACAGACAGACATCCTACTGCTGAAGTCCATACACACTCCTGATAGAGGCAAAACACGGGCAACCTCAGCTGCGGGGCAAAGTGCCATCTGGGTGAGGGTTAAAACTAAACAGTGGTTCTTCTTTGAAGAGTAAGTTGGCAGTAAACATGACAATTCCAGATGTGGACACCCTGTCGTTGTTACGTGTACCTAGTCCATGCCAACTCATAGCGGGCCCCTCGGACAACAGAACAAAATACTGCCTCGTCCAGGGGCATCCTCACAATGGTCAGGTTTGAGTTCATGCTTGCAGCCATGGTGTCAATCTAGCTGGTGGAAGGTCTTTCTCTTTTTTCATGGATCCTGTATTTTACCAAGCAGGATGTCCTCCACCACTTCCCAGCTGTATCCCTGGGACACCTTACCCAGGTTCTCAGGTCAGCGAAACCCAGATCTTACAAGCAATCTGGGATTCTTTCTGGCTTTTGGTTTAACTATTTTTTCCTTTCATTAAAGTGTCTATAGAATTTGTCTATTAACAAACATTCAAGCCAGACCTCAACTCTTTTAAGTATTATCTGACTGAAAGATTCATTTTAAGCCACTCAACCAATATGTAGGAGCCCTGGTGGCATTGTGTTTATGCGTTGGGGTGCTAATTGCAAGGTCAGCAGTTCGAAACCACCAGCTGCTCCTAGCGCGGAACAAAGACTAGGCTTTCTACTCCTGTGAAGACTTGGTCTTGGGAACTCACAGGGGATACCTGTCCTATAGGGTCTCTGTGTGTCACCATCCACTCACAATAGACAAAGATTTGTCATTAATAACTTAAAATGTTAAAAACTTGATAGTGTGCACTCTTTGTAATTATCTTTCCTCCTAGAAGTTTCTTATATTCATTCAGTCACCATTTCACGTGTTTTATTCCATTCTGACATGTTTTACGTTATTTTGCAGGCACGTGAAGTGCTTAGCTGGATGTAATCGATGTTAACTGTTAGTCTTTAATCACTTGATTAAAGTCCTCCTCGGCAGGGAGGCCGTATTTCATCTCTGCTTCTCAGCATCAATGCGATGGCAGGAGTGTAGTTTGGTTTTTGGAATTCTCCAACCCCCAGGGTCCGCGCGCAATCCAAGCTGACAGATGACAGAGAAGCTGCAAAAGTAACTCGCCCCTAATCATCATTCAAAGAATGCTGGCGGCAGGACGTGACCCTGCACAAAAATGAAGGCATGCAAAACCCCTGGCCTGTTACAAGCGTTCAATACCCGCGGAATCCAGCACAGAGCAAGTGCTCAGGAGAGGTTTGCTGAAAGAGCAGGAGCCTGGCGGGGGCCCCTCACCTGCAGCAGCGGTAGGAGCAGCTGGTTGAGCCTCCTCCGCTCCACGAGGCTGACGGCGCCCTCGCCCGTTCGGCCCATCTCGTTCAGCAACACCAGCACCGCGATCTTATACGGTGTCACCCAATCCTTGATGCCGAACACGTTGGCGTGCACCACCCCATTGGTCATCATGGGGTTGAAGTAGAGGCTCTCGTGGACGCTGGCCATGGTGACCGAGCCTAAGGCACGGGGCCCCAAGGCCACCACGGCAAGTTTCCACCGCGCAGAACACCAGCACCAGTCTTAGGCCTCCTTCAGCCGGCGCCGTAACCCAGGAAACGGAGGCGGGGGAATTCTCGCGCTAGTGGCATGCCAACAGCCAATCAGAAGAGCCAGAGAAGAACACGTGGAAGAAGCAGAGCCAATCAGAATGTCCAGGAGTGTATTGAGTCCCAAAAGGTGGTGCACCTCAAAACTGAGTCCCCATGGAAACACTTGCAGAGGAAAAGTAAGTTCCTGGGCAAGAACTCTTTCTTGATGTGAACCTGGACTTAAATGAAAAGAAGATTCACGTCTGTGGATGGAGGCTGCCCGTTTATTCACTTATTTTTGAAACAGTTAAAAAATTTTAATGGCTATGTTTAAAAAGCAACAAAACTCAACTTACATCTTTAAATCTTGTATTTGATTTATTATGTTTCATTTCTTTCTTTTAAAAAATCATTTTATTGGGGGCTCATACAACTCTTAACACAATCCATACATACATCCATTGTGTCAAGCATATTTGTACATTTGTTGCCAT